ATCTGTTATGGTTCAGAACTGGGTCAAAGCAGAAGAGGGAAGGGAAGGGATAGAGCAGGAGAGCCAGGAGGAGGGAGCTCTCCAGAGAAGGGCTTCATCCTGCCGCTTGTGCAGCATGGCTGGGGAAAACGAGGGCAGCGAGTTGTTAGAGGAGCGGGCCACTCTCCTAGCCGCACCGGGCAGCAGCTCTGGTAGGTGTATCCCGAGCCCTTCCTCGCACAGCCTCGCGACAGGCAGCCCTGCCAGGCCCTGGCAATGCTGGCAGTGGGGTAGGAAGAATTTGTCCTTCCCCAGCAAGCTCTCGGCCCACGGCAGCCTGACACAAGCCCAGCAAGCAGGAGCCCCCCAGGCAGGGACAGTCACACAGCATGGGGAAGCAGAGTAGCAAAGAGGCGTGCCAAGAGGAAAATGAATAACCTCGTAGTGATTCATTCTACTTTTCCTATGGAAAACTCTGGAAAAGTTTCTTGTGCTGCGCTCTGAAAGTTAGCAGGAACTTTGCTGCTGCCTTCTGTGGGTGTGAGCAAAGCCGAGGAAGGGAACAATCTCATGTGGAAGTAAACAAGTGTCACTGTGCTACCAAATGGCACAGCCCCCAGAATATGAAACCCCCCTAGCAGATAAACACCCAGGTTCCTACGTTCTGTGTTAATACTGAGCCAAGTGCCTGCCTGGCACAGCTGCAGTGACTGTGCTACAGCAAGGCAGGACTTGGCCCAGCATGTTTAGGTTCTGTTATTTAAACCAGCTGCTTTGGGGGATTGTTTTTCTTTAATGGATAATAAGAGCCATTGAAAACAGAGTTGTTGCTTTGTTTGGGTTTCATTGAAAGAGACACTACTAAAGGGAGAGAAATCCCCAAAATGATACTCAGTGATTAAATCCATAGAATATAGGATTTCAATGTTTGCAAATCCTTTTTTTCAAATCAACTTGTGGCACTAATCCTCTAATGGCATTATTTCTTTGGAATATATGCCAGATTAAAGAGTCACAATGAGGCAAAGTACAAAAATCCACAGTAATCTTTCACCGGTGGATGCTGTGTGGGAGGCAACTTTAACTATATTGTTCCAAAATCGGTTCTGTTCCCATCCTCACCCCAGCTCTACCCAGGAGGAAGAGCAGATAGATATAAACAAGTGTGACACTGAGAACTCAGCAGATGGTCATAAGCCATTTAACTACATAGAAGGGGGAAGGTGCTTATTTTTTTTTAATGGCAATAGCTAAGCTTGTCCTGTGCTGTGCATGACATGCTGCAAATGTGGGTGCCCAGGTCCGTGAGGCAGGAACAGAACAAATGTTCACGAATGTAACCCCGAGGGACAAGGAAGCCCCGAGCAGGGCCAGTCTCGCAGCGCAGAGGGCACAAACTGGACTGCTGCGAGGTAATGCTCATGTCTGCAGCCCAGGGCAGCCTCCTTGCTGCAGTCATCAGGCTTTTCTTTGGGATAACCCTGCTGCCCCCTCTTTCTGCTTAGATACTGTAAGCACAGGCAAAGATTTGCTTTCTAGGAAGAGGAGACTAGGCCACTCTGAAGCAATGTTTCCCTTCCCACCGGATTGCAGGGATGTGGTCATGGTGCCATGAGGTATTTTCACTATCATTCAACAGCCTGAAGTAGAGAAAGAATTTCTGAATGGGCAACACATCACCTAACACACCAATGACAGGGCATTCAGGTTAGCCCAGCCTAACCACTTTAATCAGTGCTTAGGGATTTCCCTGCTTCCAGGGAGCAGAGATTATCAGATACTGCCCTCCCACATCTCCTTGAACTGTGGTGGGCATCGAGCCTCTCAGGCCAACATGTTCCCATGTTGGCATGTGTGCCCAAACAGGGATCTCCTTCTCTCCATTTCATCCCTGGCCATGGACGAGCACAACATGGAAAGTGGGAAAGAACTGTCAAATTCAGTGAGTTCCTCACTGGCAGAAATGCGTGGGGTTTCAGCCCGTTTGTGTAGCTGAGGTGCCTGAAGATGTGAAGTGAGCCAGGACACGGAGATGATCTTCCCTGGAAGATGCAGAGCTGTAGCAAGGTGCAAGTATCAGAAGCTAGGACAGGGCCAGCACTCCTAGTGCCCAACACCCAAACCAACTTGGAGGTGCATTCTCTTCAGGAATAGGCACGTGCACTCCATTCCTTAGGGAAACACTGCTCATCACTGCGTTTCTGTGGGTTTTTTTTTCCTGCCATGAACATTTCCCAGCCTGGTACTTCTCATGGGCAGGAAGTTTTTTGCTGATGTTCGCTTTAAGGTTTTCTTCTTCTAATCTAATCCCACTGTCTCCTAGCAGCAGCCCATGCCTCCCTGCATCGTGTCTGCATCGTTTGTGCATAGACACAGGGAGGCCAGACCTGTCCCCACTGCCTGTGTCTAACTGGATGCTTTCAAACAAATGGCTGCAGTTTTATTGAGCAGCTTTATCATTTCCTGACAAAAGCACTCCAGCTTGCACATGTCCTTAGTGCATGTGGATCAGTGGATGGTTCATTGTGTTTAAGGAAGTATAAATTATACTGCACCAGGTGCAGACAGAGTTGACCAGGAAAATGGTAAGAGAATTGGAAAGCGCATAAGACAAGAGGAGTTTGGGTGGCTTAGCCTGCTAAAATGAAGATGTAGATTACAAAGAACAAATGAAGCTCAGCAGATCCAGGACAAATGGTCATGAATATATTTCAGCTAGAAATCCAAACATTCACCATCATGGAAACCAGATTCTTGGGCAGGCATACAGAGCTAAACCAAAAAAAAAGTTATGATGAAGTCTGACACATTTCTATGATGTATTTATTTATGATTGTATCGCAATGTTATATCATGCTGTTGCCAACAAGGAGATTGTGCCCAAATAACCTGTATCTCCTGTTTCCCCAAAACGAATAGCAGCGAGTCCCGTGGTTTCCCTCCTCACTGAACTCTGCTCACTGTGAACAACCTGCTGACACACAGGAGCGTTGCTCGGCCACCAGCCCTGCGCCTGACTCCTATGGACAAAAGGGGTGGGAAAACAAAGAGCTTGTTCTTCAGGTACTTGGGAAACCTGATCTGGGAGGTGACTCAGCCCTTTCCAACACCAGCTGTTTCAGGGCCCTGCAAGGGCTGGAGTGCAGCAGCCTGTGCTGCTGCTTCCTGATTTCTCCCTGGTTATGCTCTAAGTGGGGATGTGATCAGAGCAGTGAAGGGGATTTCTCAAACTCTCCTAGGAAAGAGGGACCAGGGAGAGCAAACTGTTTGGGGAGGCGGAATTGAGAGAATTTGGGAAGTCTCTTGTGCACAGCTGCTGATAACAAATGAAGACAGAAACAGCTTTGAAAGAAGAGTGCATGGAAAATCCTGATAGAGAAAGAAGTGAGGTTCATTTGGATGTCCTAGCTCGCCTCTCCTGCAAGCCCCGAGTGTGAAACACATCCGCAAGGGTAACAATGGACAAGACAGGTATGTTTTCTTGGCTGTTTAAAGTAATACAAAACTGGCATTGCTTTACAGCTCAGTAAATGTGCACATACACCTATGCACGTTGCTTTGTGTGGCTTTTGTACTTTGCTCATGAGACATGTGGCTGTGACAGGCTAAGAGCAAGACTTAAAACAGTGCATCAACTCTCTGTATGTGCTCTGTCCTGAACACTTGTATCATGGCAGGCAACTTGCTACATAAAAGAAACCCAATATATATGTATATATAGCTATGTATGTGTGTGTATATGGCTGTGCCAACACTCTACGCTTCATTTTGACATTTGGTATAACAACGTGAAAACAGTCTGTGAAAGTCATAGGGTTTCTGATACTATTCTGCACATGTGTTTTCCTTATGAGGAAAGTTGATGCTGGTGACATTATTTTTAACAGACTGATAGTAAAGCGAGCAAGTGCATATGTTCTGTGGATGGCATGGGCTTCTGTGTGCAGGTCTGTACAGATGATGGGGACATGAGCACCATGAGCACAGAGGTGTGTTTTTGAGCTCCGATGTGTTTACAGGATCACGATCTGAGCTCACAGAAATCCTATCTGTGAGCGCAAGTTGTTTCCCCTGCAGTCAATGGCAAACAGTAAGACGTGAATCATATCTCTTCCATATAGTCCTTGCATGTCTGCTTAGTTCATGTGACTGCCCAATTAAAAGCCTGTATGTATGTGCAAATGCTAGAATTTAAACTAAGGATTAATTCAGAGAAAAATAAAGCGGCTGCGGTCACCGGGCAATATATGCTAGTGTATTGCAAACAGCACTAAGGATGGAATGTATAGATTATTATGAAGCTAGACTTACATTTTTCTGAGAATTAGTCACTGAAGCTGATGTCATTGTAGTATTACACTGTTCCAAGCAGGCTGAAGGGCTTGTTTTCTTCCAGCACTGGCACACTATGGATGTTTGTCACTTCAATAGGTAGTTGTTTTCTGCACTATTTCAGCTTTGCTCTCAGGTTAATGGGGTTTCATTTGCATGTGAGCTTGTCCCCCTGTCCTGAGCTTGGGAGCGTGTGACAATGTTTGGGCAAGGGTGTCCTTGCCCCTCTCTCATGCACCCCCTCCTCTCATCTTCATGACTGTTGGACAAGTCTTTGCATGAAGAATCTCCCCTTGATGCCAGGTTTGCCTGGGCTCCCCACGGAGCAGGGATGTCTGAGCCTTGCTGCTTTAGTTTGGCCACAAGACCGTGCACAGAACTTGGAGATCAAGTGATAGGGGAGCCAGCAGGTTAGCTCTGCTACGCTCAGGGACCTGGGAGGTGGCATTAGGAGCCGTCTGAATTAAGAGGGCACAGGGAGAGATACTTGTGTCCTTGAGCACTGGGACCCCGGAGGCTGCAGTGCACATATGGAGTATTACCCAGTCCTCTCGAAGGAGCAGAAATGAGTTTAGAAAGTGCTAAATAGTGCTTTACTAGTGTGTGAAGGGACAAGTAGGAAAATCTCTATGTGCCTGGCATTATAAAATAGGATAAACAAGAATGCTAAAAATTCCTCTCATGTCTGCTGATCTCTTGACAGAGAATGCTCAGATCTGCCAAGATAAGTGTGAAGAGGATATCCCGAAGAGTTCCCCGTTTGACTTTGTTAGAAAACAGTTTCAAGGGAAGAAATCTGCTGAAAAAAGAAAAGAGCAGCCTTCAGGCATCAGAAAATTCTTCGGGGGCTTTGACTTTGGCAAATTCGAAGCCAAAGGCAGAAAGGAGACTGAAGAAACAGAAATAAACAACTCTAGAGCTGATGATCAGAATGAGAAGAAAGATCTCCCTATAGAAGGTAATGCTGGTACAATAAAGAAATAGATGCACATGTGTATGTATCCTAATTTCATTTGCTTTACTTGGTAGCCAAAGTGCTGTATTTTGTTAACTCAGACTTCTCCTTTGCCCAGGACTTGCTTCTGATCAGAATATTGCCAAGGATGTGCTCTCTGATTTGACAGCCAGCAAAGATCCGTGTTGCTAAGAGGGGCAGAGGTTTTGTGTGACCTCCCTCCCAAGCTCTGCTGGGTGACACCAGTGCTGGATCAGCTCGTTAGTCACAGAGCTTATGTTGGAACTGGAGCTTCAAGCAGTAGCTTGGCTTGTTTATGGTTAAGGGCCATCCACCCTGCTGCTAAAGCAGTCTGAAGGCAACAAGAACAGATGTTTCCCACCACTTGTCACTGGTTAGGGGGAGGGGAAGGGAGTGGGAATTCGCTGTGTGTGTTGTTTTGTGCTCACAGGGGTACTTTCTACTTCCGCACCAGAGAAAATGAGGCTATTTTCATAAAGGTGCTGGAATATGAGATTTAGGGCCTCATCCTTTGAGAGTTTTGGCTAGGAATGGGAAAGTGATGAGTGGGCAGTTCTTGTGAGCAGGGATGACTGTTCTGTGCAGTTTTTGACTGCTCACTTTTGACTGTAGGCATTAGATGATACTAGTGAGACTGTTTTGATTGATCTGCTAAAGGGGTTTAGAGAGGAATGTAAGCAATTTTCCTTGCTGTGCAAACTGCATTGAAGAAGAAGCTAAATGGGGGTGGCTTTGCGAAGCCAAACACAGCAGTACTGCCTTGAGCAGAAAATGCAGGAAAATGGACATGGGCTGTCATGGAAGAAGGAGCAGGATCACTGCAGAATCACAGCTCCGCTCAGTGCTAACTGGTCAATGTGGTCCGTATTGCCACAGAACAAGAAGGGCACGGAGCTGGTTAAGTGGTAAGTTAAGCGTCCAGAACACCTGCAGCCCAGAACTTTGCAAGAATTCCTTGTGCAGATGGCTGCCCTTGTGCAAATACCCAAAGTTGCTGCTGTAAAGTAGTTTCAAGATGTGCAACAGGAGATTCTTCTGTCATTTAGTATCAGCAGCTTTGTAGTGATTTAATCTACAGTGGTCTTATCACTCAGGATATTGATCCACTTTGATGTGGTCCTCTGAATCAAAAATAGAGCCGTGTTTACTGCCGAGTTTAGTTGATTTTCTGGAATCTTCGTCTGGCATCCGCAGACAAGGTTTTGACACTGTTAGTTGCACTGTTAGTTGCAGAGGTAACCAGAGCCCTATTTCTCTGTTACACAGATGGACTTTCACATCTTATTTGTGAAGCAGAGTCACCATCTGGTAAGCAGAGATTTAACCAATTCATGCAGAAGCTGGGAAAGAAACCCAACAGCGAGAATCTGGATCTAAATAATTGTGCTTTAAGTGCAACAGATGTAACAGAGCTGGGTAAATATACATTTTATTCATCTATACACAATGTCTTTTTGTATTTCTTATTTGCCTATTCATATATTCACTCACTTCTTTGGCTTTTCTTTCTTTGGTCTCAGTCCTGAGACTTCTGCTAAACATCTCATCTGGTGGTCCAGCCCCTGAGAAATGTTCATTAATGAATTAGGTCCTCGTACAGGTCTGTGAAGCAGGTAATGTCTTTATGCTCCAACTGCAGATAACATGACAGATAACTTTTTTTTTTTTTTTAAATAGCTTCTTTACTGCCATATCTTCCAAAGCTGGAAGAGATCAGCCTCTCCTGGAATGGTGGTGTTGGAGGGTCTTTGAAAGCTCTCACTACTCAGCTCCATCATGTGAACCTATTAAAAGTTCTTCGACTTAACAGCTGCAGGCTGACGGCTGAGGATGTCACTTCCTTAGGTACAGACTGGCATGTATTGGTACATTTATTTTCTGACTGTGTGGATCTATTGTATTCAATCTCATTATTTCCTTTGTTTTATGCCTACTGGTTACTGGACAATATAAACTCCCAGCTGTGAAGTAGTAGAAAGTACCTGGACTTATGAGTGACCTTATACCTAAGAGTAGCTCTGGCAAGGTCATTGGTTGGGACATAAAGCTTGCACAGGCAGAAGGGAGCAGAATCCTGTTCCAGATGGGAAAATGCTCTTTCCTGAAAATAGATTAGCATTTTGTGGACTAACTTTCAAGTATCTAACAGTAGACAGAAGAACTGGAAGACAATTATTTAATCATGATAGGGTCAGCTTAGGTAGGTCTTACTACTGCATGGATGGATGTAGTGCACATCACACAGAATTTGGTGAGTTGAGGGTGTCTGGAGGAAGCTAAAAACCTAGGAAGTTTTATGACTTTTTTTTTTCTCCCAAATCTGGGAGATCTGCTTGCATCTTTGTCTGGAGTGTCTGCAAACAAAGTATGAGATCTGAAGGTTTTTAAGGTGGTATGAACTCAGGTCCTCATGCTGAGTCATTTACCACTGGGCCTGGAGTTTACTGCTGGGGCGGATCTCTGCTATGTGTCTAGAAAATGGACAAACTCAGTGAACTAGATATTCTGAAAAACTTCTGCTTATTCTGCAAGCTCTACAAACTGGTCTGGGTTAAAAAGCTGGGTTTTTTATGTTATGCAACTTCAGTGGTTTTTCAAGAGAGATTCAGGAATTTTGGCATATGTGGTCTTAAGTCAAAAGTAGCTCATATTGTCTGCTGGGGAGGAAAATCCATCTCTAAAAAAGCTGGTGAAAATAATTGGTCTGTTTCTGATGAGGGTCAAACCTGTGTTTAATTTTCTATGAGTTTTTTGCATGTTTATTTTTATTTTCAAGCCCTTCCCCCCCCCCTTTTTTTTTGGTTAACTCTTTGTATTTTACCCTCTACATTTTCAATGTATTTCTTTGCTGCCCTTTCTTCTCCTTTCTGGATTCGCCTTTGCAGAGACACACATAGCTGATCATGAAAGTTTCATTTCCATTTTGAGATGTGGAACAGCAACAGTCGACTTGCTCTTTTTTGGCTGCAGTTTTGAGGAGTATGTGTGTTTAGTGAGAATATGTTTAGATCAATAGTGCCTGCTTGACTATGTCCATATCAGTCTGTGGAAACGTAGGCGTTTGTGGACTCGGTGGGTACGTTCTGCTCAGAAAATAATGACCTCAAATATAGTCATCGTATCAGCCTGCCCTGTGTAATTGCTCACAGCAGGTGCTGTGAGAGGCGATAGGAGAACCATTCCTTGAGTTATATCCCTTTGTTTATCTTCTGGGTGGAAAATGTGTCTGGAATGCTAGTCCGTTTGTCAAATAGAAACAGGCAATACTCCAGAGGTAAAAACACTCAGCTGTAGGGCATTGTTCAGAGTTCTAGATGGAGGCAACTATTTAAAATAAAAACAGAAAAAAAACAGGTAAAATATAAGACATATCCCTTTCAAACCTGGAAAGGGACACATCCCTTTCTCCACTGACAGAGCTAATTATTTGTAAAACTTTTATCAAAAATTAATTCTGAAAACACTCAGACATGAAAGGGTTTTCTTATTAAAATGTAACTCAGTTATTAGGCCGATGACAAGACTTTAGATCAAAGATTTGCTATGTGACACTTTGAAGTTGCATTTGCATATGGTCTGGTTAATTGGTCTGTCTTGGAAACTAGTTTATGCAAATATCCATCTTCCTCTCCCTTCAGCAGAGGAATTTAGGAAGCTGGATCTTGCAGTGGGATATTCGTATTCCAAAGAGTGTTAAAGCAGTTCAATAACAGGAGCGTCAGGGCTGGAAAAGACTATTTTTCCTGAATGTGCTCAAAATTGGTGCTGTCTTTGGAGGTCATGGGAAAGATAGTTTGGCTCAAAATAGTGCTCAGTTTGATTGATTCCTTATGAACGGAGTCAGAGTTCTGTTAGAAATCAGTTTTTTAAAGTTTAAGACGCAGCTATGAGAAGACTTCTTTCATTCTGTTCAAAATAACTTGTGTACACCCTGCAAAGGATGCTGTAAGTCTGCTAAATAAAAACAAGCAAAACTGTATGGGAGAGTAAATTCAGACTTGCTGTTTCTATTGCTTTCTACATGGAATAGACTTTCTGGATCCTCACACAGGTCTACAGTGATGGTCAAACAATCCGGTGAATATTTGAGAACCTGCATAAATTTATGTGCTGTGTGTGCTGTGACAATGATTTGTGATCTATATTGTTCCTGTTGGACAAGGCGAGAATTTATACAACATCCCTGCAGTAGCAACAATTCATGGCATATACCAGTTTTTCTAATGAAAATGTTATGTTTAGAGAATTAAATGGTTAACTTTCCCCTTTTATATTTTCTAAAACTGTATTTTTGTCTTGTACTGAATTTGGTAGGTAGAATGAATCACCTTAGACTTCTTTCATAGGAGAAGCATTTGAAATTGTTCCTCAGCTTGAAGAACTGGATTTATCATGGAACAGTAACATAGGTGGAAAACTATCGCTGCTGACAAAAAAACTCCAGAAAGGCTGCAAGATAAAAATTCTGAAAATTACAGATTGTAACTTGACAGCGAAGGATGGAGAATCCCTTGGTATGTGTATCCACACAGCTGATCTGAAATCCTGGCTTCACCAAAATGTAACTCGTTTGACTCAGGTTATGGCCATATTAAACCCAATATTGTTTGAAAGTTCTTTCACATCAGGCTCTGCATTATAACAGTGATTACCATGCAGTGTTGGTATTTGTTGCACTTTTTCGAAGAAAAGTGGCTCTTTCTAATCATGTGAGGTAGGATTGAGAAGAACTAGATCTAAACTGCAGTCTGACTGGCTCAATGGTCCAGGGTTGCTGGATCTTTTGAGACCTTGAGCAAGTCATGTAATACAGTATTTCCAGAATTGATTGCCTCAGGTTAAATAGCTAAATCTGTTGTTAGCCAGAGGGTGTGAAAGAAGGAGTGAGGAATGGGAATTTGGGTGGAGTTGGCAACCACTTTCCATCCCTCCCTTGTTCTTACCATATCTTAATCCTATGTGCTCATTTGAACTAATTGTGTATTTTTAATAAGTTTTCTCCCTAAGAGAAGCCCCTGTTCATGCTTCCGATCTCCAGATCAGAACATGAAGTCCTGTATTTTTTATTAGATTTTTATTTTGTCATCCTATTTCTTCTTTGTATTCCTGCCTTTTTTTTTTGTCTCTGCCCTTACTCTATCTTCCTACAGGTTTTTCACTGATTTATTTGGAGTCCTCTCTTTGTTTTGCTGTATTTTTTTGCTTTTTTTTCGATAGAACCGGAACTTGGTAAGTCTAAACCACACATACGGGCAAACCCAGCCTATCTCTTCCTGTTTGTCAGGGTGCTATATTTTTTTCATGTTCTCTGACTATACCAGACAATTACTAATTCTGATTTTCTTTTCTTCCTTCCCAGCTCAGATTCTAAATGTGATCTCAAACCTTGAAGTGTTAGATCTCTCAATCAACAAAAACATTGGCTACAGTGTGAAGATTATTGCACAGGATCTGAAAAATGTGCCAGGCTTGAAAGAGTTAAACTTGCATATGTGTGGGTTAAAGCAAGACAGCATCCAGGCCTTAGGTTAGACTTTACATTCAGAAAGACTTTCATTCTGCATAACCAGTACATGTGAAACCCATTTAAGAGAGGAACCAAGGTGGCGTTTTGCTAATGGTTTGGCTCTATTTATGGACAATGATTCTTTCCTGTTTGAGGATGGATAAAAGATGACAGAGACTTGCAGTTATCTTCCCTGAACTCAACCGTGTGAAAGTCAGTGGGGAGGGTCACCCTTCACGACACTTATCTGAGACCCATCTTAGGGAAGGTTAACAGCTCTCTAGATGTGCTTGCACTCCTCAGGCAGAACACAGAAGAGGGCACAGACCTGCTAGCTAGCTTGCAGAGGAGCAATCCCACCTTCAGAAGGAATTCCAAATTCACCACTCTCGCTTAATGAATGTCCAGTGAAGCTGTATGAAACAGGGTTGTTATCTGTTATCTGTGTCTGTCCCAAGTGGAGATCTTATCCTTAAGACAAAAGAACTGGCTCGAAATTGCACCCCCAGTAGTAATTTCTGCAAGAGGCTGAAAGTTGAATGGATTTAGAGGGTGAACTGTTCTGACTCAGTGGATGGGCTAGCTTCACCTTCACCTGCTCCTTTGGAGAAGAATGGAGTTGCAAACTTTGTGGCATTTCTGTATAGCTGTTGTGATTATACCCTGAAGCTTAGCCTGAAAGATTTGCTTTCAATACTTTGTGCAAACTTTGACATTAAAATAAATAAGTGCTAAAGTCATGACCTTTGCTAGTGTAACAGCCATATTCACTTTTCCATTTCAGACTCTGCTTTAGAGCACCTGGCAGAGCTAAGAAAATTAGACCTATCATGTAACAGAGAGATCGGTGGTGGCTTTAAAGACTCAACAGCTCATTTGGCCAACTTGAAAAATCTTGAATTCCTTGATCTGCACCAGTGCTGTATAACAGAAGAGGACATGACTATTTTGTGTAAGGGCATGTTCAAGAAATCCTTTAAGAATGCATGTTTTTGACTTCAGAAAATTGGCAGAAGAGATTCTGGACAGCCTAGTGTAGCAGTCTCAGTACTCTGGGGTAATGCTGTTTTGGGCAGTTCTGGAAGTGCAGTGGGGAGGATAGATTGCTCAGCCAATGCAAAATGGTCCTGTGCTATATCAAAGGGAGTCACACAGTGGCTGATGCTGTGTAGAACCAAGGGCCTGAATCTGCCAGGGTTCAGCCCCCTGATGTGAATGTAGGAACTGCCACCAAGAACTGGTTTTGAGCACTGCTTTTGTAGAGCACCAGTGATTTTGGAAATATCCAGAGAAAGTTCCTCTGTTGGTAAAGATCAACCTGGATCCAGAGGGTCCCTGTACATGGAAATGTAGCTGCCCAATCCCCACTTAGTGAGCACTATCTAAAGTACAGAGTGATGTGAGGAGCTCTTTTACTGCTGCTACTCTCTGCTTTATGGAGAAGCTGAAAACTACAGGCTGAATAGATCAAACTGCTCGTAACTACTAGTAGGAAGAAGTATTTGTTTCCCATTTAATCACAGACAGTTGATTTTCTGTGTACTTTCCATTATCACAGCTATTCGACATGGTCTTTTACTCTTTGCAACAGCATGACACAAAGCCTATATTGTCTACATATTATTTGCCATTATTAAAAAAAAAAGATAATTCAAAAAGCTGCTGCTGAAGCAATGGGAAACACTGACTGTTAGTAATGTCGATTATGGTTTATTTTTAATCTCTTACACATAGTAGACCTAAGAGAGAATAACCACATTAATAGACAGTAGCAGCGAAGACTTTGGAAATATATCCCCTACTCATTTAATGCTAACTGCTTGACCTTGAAAATTCCAACAGCAAAGCCACACTCTGACAGCCTTCCACACAGTGCATAGTAACTACTTTCCTACATGTTCCTACTGGGAATGAGTAAAATGTTATCCACTGTAAATTTGAGTGTAAATTTGAGTAAATTTGATTTTTGGATTGATTTAGAAAGAAAAGAAATGATGTCAAATAAATATATAGTAACACATACTTTTTCTAGATCTGTGACTATCTAACAAATATTTCATGTTTTCAAAGCCCAGGTGATACCTTTACTCTCCAGTCTTCAAGAGCTGAATTTATCCTCGAATAAAAATGTAGGAGTCTCATCTGATCCTCTTCTCAGCAGGCTCAGATTTCTACCAAAGCTGAAGTCTGTGGCCATCAGCAATTGCTGTTTACAAGAAGAGTCCTTCTCGTCACTAGGTAGGAATGATTTTAAGTAGGACAGAGCACTTCGTTCTCTCTCAGTTGGACTCTGAAGATCCATAATCATATTATGCTACAGGTCCTGAATAAAAAAGTAATCACCTTGTTCTTGATTCTGGTTGTCTTGTGACAAAACCAGATTGCAAGGGATAGCTGAGCACTGGGAATACTACGGGACCAGCTGGAAAACTGTTGTTAGTCTTCTGTCATTCTGCCTGACTGGGTGAAGTCCTTTTAGTCCTTTAGTCCTTTTTCTGACCCTGAGTTTTCATAGATTGCCTAATTTTAAAATAAGAACCAGCAGAATGTGATTTATATTCATATTAAGTTTCATGTTATGCAATTGATATTATGCTGGAATTATAGTTTGGTTGTAGTGCTGTATTTGCAGCTTGCTAAGGTAAAGCCTCCATTAACATTTTTTCACCTCACTAGAGGTAGTTTCAGTAGGAATGGAAACAGTGATTGCAGTAATGGGGGAGAGATTGCATGGCTATGAAGAAAAGTCAAGCTATGCCCAATCTAACACAGGATATTTAAATTCAGCTTCATTTGACTGCTTATTGCAATCTCCAGGGGTTAGTGGCTACACTGGGCCTTTGATAGGGGGTCCATCTGGCACGTAAAAACTACGTACAGAGAAATCTGTTAGTTACCGTGTGTTGTGCAGTTGGTGTTTATTATTCACTGTTTATTAGTTGTATTGAAATTCACAGCAAAACTTGACTGCCTTCAGCAGATGATTACTATATTTATATCATTGCAACTATATAAGATTGTTGTCTTGGAAATCAGTGTAAAAATATACAGTGTGTTTCATCTTACATGATGAGTTCACAGCAAAAATTGCTATCTTTAGATAAATATTAAATAGTTTAAAAATTAACTCCTTATATTAAATTGACTTGAGTGGGGTAAAGCCAGGCCAGTAACGTAGGCAGAAACAAGAGAAACCTCTTCAGAGATCCCTTAAAACCTGCTAAACAGGCTTTTGTCAGTGTTACATTCTTTAAAGAGTTCAAGAGATTTTTTTTTTTTTTTTTTTGGTCTGGCTATTAAGATTAACTAAGTCATTCTAAGCTCAAGCTTGTTAGGAACCTATTTACAGGTGAATTGGCGGTGAGGTGTCTATTGAGGCCATGCTGTTTTCTCTTAGTAAGCAGAAGTTACTGGTCTTAATCTTTTCAGCTGAGGCTGCCCTTCACCTTCCTGAACTGGAGATATTAGACCTTTCTTGGAATAAGTGCGTTGGTGGGAACCTAAAGCTGCTTTTGGAAGCGCTAAAGCTTGCGACGGAGATTCAAGTGTTAAGACTGAGCAGCTGTAACTTGGTGGCTGAAGATTTGGCACTTCTAAGTACGTATAACATGGTATTTACTAGCAGTCAAGGAGCCAGGGTATTTAAACCACAATTCTGAAGGGACTTGTTCCATGGACAGGGCAGGTTCTTGCATAAATGACATGAAAAGATAGAAAACACGGTAGTATTTTTCCCAGAAAGAGATTTCATGTTGCTGAAGGCTGTATGTTATATACATGCAAGTAATAGAGTCATTACCAGATTTCAGTCCACTAGGTGCAACTCTGGAGTCACACAGCGATGGGAGAATTAAAATGGAAATGTTCTAGTTCACTTCTTAGCAGCTGCTGAGAAATGCTGGCAAATGGGAACCCAAAGAAAGAAAATATTCTAAGATCCTTTAAAAAAACTGTTTCTTTTAAAAACGTTCTTGTGAATCTGTAGGCCCGACTCAACGGCCGCTGAGCGTGGGAGGTTGGTAGAAGTTCTGTGATAGCTATTAAGGGTTGTAGTCTGAAGCCTGGGGAGATAGAGCCTGAAATATCACCTTTGCTGGGTGGCTACTTCGCCAATTGTACATTAAATTCCCAGTTCTCTTGGGGGAAAATTAGGCCCACTACCTTCCCACAGTGCGGTTGGCTGTTGTAATTGTGTGTCCTCATCTAGTTTCGCTTTCCTATTTCTAAATCTCCCTACAAGACCTGCCTGCCTTTCTCAGGTGGCACTGGATACTCCCTACAACCAACTGACAGGTTTTCAGGCTGCCACAAACATGACAGTTTTTAACCAGATGCTCTGTTCCTTTTGAATTGCCTGTGCTTTAAATACACACACCTTCAGCCTTTCTGAGACCAATAGCAAGTGACTGGCACGTTTTGTATTGCTAGGAGCTGAAACGTGCTGTGTTTGAATGTTGAAAGGCCTTGAATAATATGATATTAAAATACCACTCTTCCGTAACCTTTTAAAGCAATGATTTGCTGTTTTGTCTGTCATTTCTTTCAGCGCTACTGACACAGGATGGTCATCTAGCCAGATTACGGAAGCTGGACTTGAGTTATAATGACAACATCTCTGACGAAGGGTGGTCTGCCTTCTGTAAAGGTTTGTCAGTATTCAGAGGACTGTCAGAGCTAGATATCAGTCTTCGCCCATCGTCTTGCCGTGACTGTGGGATGTGGTTCAGTGAGTTGTTTGCAGCACTGACAAAGCTGCCAGCACTGGCAGAGCTGGGGATGCAAAGATGGGTCCTTTCGGAACCGCAGTGGAAACGACTGGAAAGCTTTAATGAAGACAACAAAAGAAGCGTTCGCTTTGACTGGTGATGGAGTTTGGAAGTTCCTCATAGACCTTTCGAAAATACCCGCATGTGAACTAAGTATTTTATTTCTCTGATTTTGAATACTCTCCCATTTTTAGTCATCTTTTCTTTCGAGCTCTTGAAATAGTTCCAAAATTATATGAAACTGTTATTTAACCTTCCAAATACATGGATCCTTATATTTAATAACGTATTCTTTCCTGCTCTCTGGGCCGTGCTTACATTGCTATGCTGAAACACTACATGGGCTTAATTTTGGTGTTGTGAATGCTGCAATGCCTGATGTTAGAAGAGCAGTGAACATTTCAGATGGGGTGTCCCGATTCGTCAGCGGAGATGAGCACCTGTGTCGTGCACTATCACATATGGGTGGGCAGTGTGAGTATGAGTGTGTATAACGAAGGTGCTTTTATATTCAAATACTTGAATCCAGTGTGTTTTAAAGTTCAGTCTCTTCTCCGTCAAAACTTTTGTCTTTTCATGAAAGTATTAAAACTACATAACTGAGAGCTTTGGAAACCATCCCAGTAACTCAGGATTATGTATTAGTCCAGTAAGGAGAACACAAGGGGAACCATACCAGCTCAGCTCTGGCCCTTGCTGCCTTCTGGTGGTATAAATGAGTCCTGGATATGGAATCAGCATAAAAATCAAAGTGAGGAAGAGTTGACTGGTGTCTCTGTAGGCCCTGAGAGCCAGGGAAGTTCTGGAATACATTAGATAGAGTACGTCCTGGTATATCAGCAAGAATTCTGGATGCAGAGCAATCCATAAATGTTCTGGATGAGGCTATGCAAATATTTCAAGATACTTTCAGTGGTCCTTCTTATACTGGACTGTTTCAGCCTTACCCCTTTTGCACCATCTGACCCTCTTAGGAAATACATTACAAAGTCAAAACTCCAGGTTTATGGGCCTCATCTGCAGCATATCAAGGCCCATGGCAATCCCCTTAGTGCCTTCATGCTTCCTGCATTCAGGATTAATCCATTAACCTTAGCAACACCTTGTGAGGTAGGCAGTGTTCTTATCCTTGCCTTAAAGATGGAAGAAATCAGCCCAGGGAAGCAAAGTCTGTTATTCAAAGCCCCAGGACAGCATCTAGCCAGGAGCAGCACTCTGCTCTGAGCCTGGGACCCATTAGTGCAAGCACCGACTCGGGACACTTGTGTGTCTCTTTATTAGATAATTTCTTTGGGGGGGTTTTATTAGATTTGCTTAAACAAAGCCCAAATCTGGCATAATCACCCATGTCATAGAGCATGTCAGCCCACACGTGGATTCAGTGGCTGCAACGGGATTATTCATTGGTAAGATATTTTAGGAAGTAAAGATATTAGATCTGCCCACTGAGTGAGGAGTCTTAGAGAAATCCTGAGCTTGAGGGATAAAGCCCTCAATTAGCCCTGAGCATGTCTACATGTTGCAGCAATCTTCTGGAGGAAAGGCACAGCAGGATCACTCAGTGGCACTCTCCTAGTTTGCTAGGACCCTCAGCAAATTCCCACACGCAGAAACAGGTTAATACTCAGTTTTCAGACTCAGTGACTCTTCCAACATCAACTTCTGACTGGTGGGGCATAGGTAGCAGCTAAGCATGCTGTGCTTGTGCTGCTACTTTGCTTAATCCCTGATTTCACGTGAAGGTCTCCTACAATTTCCTCCTTCCAGTTTCAGTTCCACTGTAAAATCCACTTGGCACAACCAGCTCTGAGAAACATGAGATGGACCGGAGCGCCTGGTCAGAGGTATCAGGGAGATGCTGCAGTGTGTGATCAGCTATTTCCTGCAGCGATCCTCATCTTCTGGAAGGAAGCAAAGAGTTCTGGTTTCCGTTTCATGCGGGGCTGATGTTCTTGGAGTCTTTCAAGTGGTGAATCAAGCCAGGAGAGTTACTTCTAATGCAGAAATACTGCTATGTCTATTAAACACTTGCACACCAATCTCTTCTTGCAGTCACCTGCCTTTTCTTGGCTCTGCTTAAATAGACCTTGGGTTCAGCTGAGAAAGTGTCTCTACCCATTCTGTGAGAATCTCTCTGAAACATTCCTGTCCCATTTGAACTGGACTTGTAAGTTTAGGAGTGTACTTGGCACACATTTAATGTTAAATGTCTGTTGTAATCTTTCTGCCTTGACTGGACATCAGTGTTGGTATTTCTTGCTATGTAATGCTCTGGTTCCTTGTTCTCGGCTCCAGAGCACGGTACAGACTCATGGTTAGCATGGTTAGCTCCCCACTTGCTTTTTATGATGTCCTCCTTGTCCTGTGTCATGATTCTGTCATGCCTCTTGTCCCAGTGGAAAGCTCTCTATTCACGTATACGTACCTTTTATCTTCGAGTCTTCTTTGAAATCTCTCTTCCAAGGTTTTCCTCGTCGGTAGTCCCAGCCCGAATCATCCTACCTATGCCTTCACTTAGGGTGAAAGGATTTCATAAGACCCCTCCAACCAATCAAAACAGCATCAGTCACCTAGTAAAATGGAGAATTTAAAGGTAGAGCAATCCTCGTTTTCTTCAGCTGAAGTCCCGAGCTCTGTCCTAACTGGCAGGCACATTAATGAGACTTCAGTTTCAACAGATTCAAGAGCCAAACAGAAAATAGATCCATACCCTGGGTGCAGATGCAGCTCACCTCACTCAGAAGAGCAGTTTTGGAGAAGGAGCTCTAGAAAGAGCTGTGTATTAGTGACCCTGCAGTCACCACCTATTCCAGCGACCAATTTCTCTTTCTTTGAACCAACTCAGACAAGGTGAGGAAGCAGGACTGCAGTTCTGTCAAGCAAATAAGCTAAGTAAGAGGTTCTGCACCCATTTGTGCCTTTTGAGTCTGTACAGTGAGTGGCTGCTCACAGACTGGCTCTGTACCTTATTCCACTGCTAGTAAAAATGTTGAGGGTTTGGGAGAAGCACTGAACAATACTGAATAAAAACTGGACAAGAACCAGTCTGGGACAGACTGCTGTCTGCAAAGTGCCCTGGAACAGTATGGCTACGTATGTATTCTGCATGCTAGACTTACAGCAAGGAGCATCTTTTGAATAGCAGTGGTGTTACTACATGGCAGGACCCAGAATCATTGCAGAATTTTGCATTCTACAAGCTCACTGTTTTCAAATAATCTTGTTGTACACAGACAATTTACAAGTCATTACCAAGATATCTCACAGATGAGCTATAACCCTGAGGACCTGACAGCTTGCAGTCGTGCAGATTGCTATACCTACATGCAGCCAAAGCATCATGAGCATTTCTGCAAAAGTGTAGAGATACTTTTAAAACTTTTTTCTTTCTTTTGGGGTTTTTTTTTTTTTGACACCTTTGTGAGACAAGATGGTAATATACATTCTGGTAGAAGTGCTTGCATTCTCACTGCCTAGAATCTTCTATGTTTCCAAACAAGGAATTAATCTTTTCTGATACAGAAGAAGAACTACCGGTGTATGTGGCTGCAAGTATTGTTTCACTCTAGATATAGATGTACCTTGCTGATCGGAAACAGATTTCTAAGAATTGTATGTAAAATACTTTGGGATTCAGAACAAAGAGCCAATCTCCTACAGATCGGATTCATTTCCAGTTAATCAGCTGTCAGTATGCTGGGAGACAACATGCATTCAGAATGACAAATCTCAGTATTTCAGAATCAGCCTCATTTATCTGGAGTGAATGTTGATAAAAGCACAAAAATAAGCCTCAAAATGATCTGTTTTCATTGTAATATTTGCTGATCCAAATGCTTTAATGATGTTTGTTCCCTACTTATCTCTGCTCACATCTGCCCTTCATGTAACAGGAAAGAGCTCTGTATGCTTTGCTGTCCAAATATCACTTTTTGGCTTTTGCTCCTTTTACAGGATTTTTTCCTCCCTTTTCCTTTACCTTTTCCTTTCCCTTTTCTTTTCCCTTTTCTTTTCCTTTTTTCCCCTTCTTTCCTTGTTTCATTAGTGTCTTAAGTGCCAGGAAAGGTCTAATCCCCTTCTTGACCATCAACCCACGCCACAGATTCCGGACCTGAAAAAGGGAGGAATAGTCTGGTTACCTTGAGGAAAAGGTAAAAGCAAACATGTGGAACAGTATTACTAATGGTTGTTATTGGTGCAAAAAGCCAGGCATATTGTGGTTTCCAAAAAATCCCCTTTTTAAAAAATGAGTCTACATTGGCTTCAGCTAGGATGGACTGCCAGCCACCTGCCTTTTTACTCTCTAGCTTTTTTTCTGTGTGCTGTTTCTTCAAGGGAGATTCATTATCAGAGAAGACACTAACACTGTTGTTTTCCAGACCCTTTTATTAGAATAGTGAATGACCGTGTCTGCACATCTCAAAATGACACTACTTAGCCCAGAGTTTCAAAAAAACAGTTTGGAAGAAATTCATTATTTCACAGAATAATCACAGACATTACAGAGAGCAAGTTGAGAAAAAATCAAAAGTTGAGAGTTTGCCTTTTCTTTCCAGCTTTGTATTTATTCTAAGCAATTTTAGTCTATGGCCCACTAGTGGTACAAACTGATCTTTTGGAAAAGAAAAAAAACACACAAACAAGAACAAAAAAAGTGTGTTTTGTTCAATGTGGCTGCACCCTGGAACACCAACTCTGACGAGCTGCAGTCAGCAAGAGCACAAGATGCCACCTGCAGCTAACTGCATCTTTGCATTAGAGACTCCACTCAATGTTTGGGCACGCTAACATTCCTTTCCACAGCACAAGGACCTAGGGAAAGCTCTGTAGCAAGCTGCGAGGACTGTTCTGCTCACCACATCATGGTGGGGCAGTTAGAGCCTCCTGTTCAGTTTGTGAATGATGCCCAGTGCTGCATTTCCAGATGGCTCCGTGCCCTAACATGATCAGTAATAGTCACCTGCTTCACAGGTGATGCATGCAAAGTTTTAAGATGTTTTTTAGAGTGCCCAGTAGATTGTTCTAGTAGATATCTGATTACTACAAGCTCAGCTCTGTCTTTTTGTTGCACTGACTTTCTTAACCCTTTTACCTTCAGGATCACGGCCTTCTTACGCCTTCTTTCCCGTAAGTATTCCAAGATGGGCAATGTCCCCTGGCAGCACACTTCCATTGGAGGTTCACTCATAGGATTCCCATCCACAAGCACCAGCTCCAGCTGCTGCAGAGTGTCCAAGTCCTCGGGCAAGTGACTCAGCTGGTTGTTCTGCACGAGCAGCTTTTGCAGAGCTGGATACACAAAAAGCAGAGCTGCAGTGCGAAGAGCAGGACTGGTGCGAGATGCTGCTGTGTGTTCCCCATAAACCAGCATGTGTGAAGCCCAAACTGTTCACCTTGTGCATGTAATGAGTGTGTGCACTGAATATCCCTGCCCACTTCTAACTTCCGTGCTATTTGACCCCCTTAAAATTTCTGGATGTGCCCTGAACTATGCACTGCATTCCTTCCTTCCCTTCTCCCTCCTTTTCCTAAAATGTTTACTGGAATTTGTGGTCTTGTGGCCACAAATGCAAAGACTGTATTTCACCTCGTATTTGGCATATGGAGTCTGGGATCCGTTTAAGGCAGTTGTTGCGACAGTCGAGTATTTCCAGGTTGGTCAACAAGCCGATGCCTAGAGGCAGGTGCTCCAGATGGTTGTTCTCGATATGCAGTTCTTTCAGATTCTGGAAAATATATGAAGGGAAAGAATCAGGAGCCAAAGCATTTGCTTTGTGGCTCACTACACCAGGCTTTGCAGTGCCTAGTCATGCAGTAGACGGTGGGGTTTGCCACTTTGCAGCCCCAGGAGCACACAGTCTGTGATTCTGACCAAAGACTATAGTATTATGAAAATAAGTAGATTTTGCTTTCAAACGCTTGAGTTTTGATGCTATCCCTATTCTGACAGCCTTGGCCTGCTGCTGCAGCCTGTGGGCTCCTTGAAGGTTCATTGCCTTAAGAGATTACAAGAACCTCCAGTGCTGTGTTTGGAGCTGCTGAAGTCCACAGAAGTGCCACGCTGCAGCAGTCCAAGATCTTCCCCCATGTCTTGTTCCTACCTGCAGTTCCTTGATGTCTCCTGGCAGACTTGTGAGTTTAATTCCTTTATCTTGTCCCAGGTATAATCTCTCTAATGACTTCAGGAGAAATATTTCCTTCGGAAAGATACTGAATTGGTTTCCAGACAGGCCAAGGCACTTCAGATTCGCCAGTTCTTTCACCTCTGTGGGTATCTAGACACAGTCATTAAGAAGATACATTATGTCAATTAAACAGTAATCTTGGGGATTTCATATTGAGGGAAGCATCTTGAGAAAAAAGCTATGAAGCTGCATTAATGTTGATGGAGGTACATGGAATATTCCATTCATTGATACAACATTATATCTCACAGTATGGTGTAAACTTTGGCAAAAAATCCATGTTGTTTCCTCTCCTGGAAAGATTTCCTATGTGGTTAATTTTATTTCTTAGCAGAAACATTTTTTCTGCTTCTTCACTGTCTTTATATGTTCAGTGCCAGGGAGAGTAATTTAAATGACTGAAATCTGAAAGCGATTCTTTTTCATAAGAAGAAAACATCCCAAGTGAAAATCTGCTTGGGAAAAGAGAACTGCATCGTATGAAAAGGGAGGTGCATTGTGAGCTCTATAAGGAGGATGTCCATGATTATTGTCATTATAGCTTTAGGGTATGCAATTGTTTTTTATCAAATGAGCAGCAAATGTTAATTGTGTTAAAGGTATTAACAGCATCCTACCCATTTTCAAATTGCCCTCTGCTCTGTTTCAGTTTGTGACACATTGATTCTGCACAACTGCAACTTTTTATTTTGAAGATATGCAGAAAAAGACACAAGAAGCCTGAGCCCGTCCCTTCAGTCAGTATTTCATCCTTTCTGCTCAGTGGACAGGTCAGAGTTTCCACATTCTTTCTTTTCTTTCCCTTAGTTGAGTACTCTGTGGTTGATGCTAACAAGTTATGTAGGATAAGGATATCAGGATTAGGTAACAAACTGAGTGCCATTGTAATCGAGGTCCAAGGACTCCGGGGCTCTAGTGACTTTCACAGTCATTTCAACAAACAACAGTCAGCAAAGCAAGCCCTAAAGTGCAGGATATACCAGTGTTCCCTTACTGATAATATGAGAAAGTGGGCAAATAGAGCACTTGCTGAGAAAAGCATGGGTCTTACCCATGACCCATGCATCCACACTCAGAGCTTTTGGGCCTGATGGGACTTAGGTGACGCTTCCAGAGAAAATGCAGGGACTAAGAAGGCACACGAGGCAGCCACATACTGCATGGGTAAGTGTGTGCTAAGGAAGGAGCTGCATCTAACTAAGCTGAAAAGGAGAAATGAATCTCCCAGACCTTGGACAGAAGCAGTAT